AACCAAAAGAAAGCTAGAATTCTATATAATACCAAAGTAGGTTTCAGAGTAAAGAATATCACCAAGAATAAAGAGGGGAATTTCATAATGAAAAAGAGGTTAATTCATCAAGAGGACCTAAAACTCCTAAGCATTTATGCACCTACTCACAGGGTTTCAAAATATATGAAGCAAAAACTGATAGAAATGAAAGGAATAGGCAAATACAAAAATATCGTCAGAGAATTCAATAACCGCCTCTCAATAACTGATAGACCAAGTAGATAATTAAGTACACAGAATATCTGAACAACACTATCAAACAATATAAACTAACAGACATTTATAAAACACACCATCAAACAACAGCAAAATACACATCCTTGTTAAGTATACACAAACATTTAATAATAATAAAACACATTCTGGGCCATAAAACAAGTCTCAATAAATTTTAAAAGATTCAAGTCACACAAAGTATGTTCTCTGACTAAAGAGAATTAAATTAAAAATCAGTATCAGAAAGATCTCTTGAAATTCTCAAAATATTTGGAAACTAACACATTTCTAAATAATCCAGGGATCTAAAAAGAAATCAACAGGGAGTAGAAAGTATTTTGCACTGCATGAAAATGAAAACACAGTATGTCAAAATCTGTAGGATGCCATTAAAGCAGTAATTAAGGAGTTTATAGCATTAAACCTCTACATTAGAAAGGAACAAGTCTCAAAACAATGACCTCAGCTTCCACCTTAAGAAAGTAGCTAAAGAAGAACAAAGTGAGTAGGAGAAAAGAAACAATAAAAATCAAAGCAGAAATCAATGAAATAGAAAATATAAAAATAATAAAAGAAAATCAATAAAACCAAAAGCTGGTTCTTTGAGAAGATCAATAAAATAGATAAACCTCTGGTCAGAGAAAAATTAGGAGAAAAAGAGAAGACACAAATTACCAATATCAGGAATGACAAAAGTTACATCACTACATTCTAACATAAGAATAATAGGAGATTGACATAAACAAGTTTTTGCCAATAAATTTGACAACTTAGATGAAATAGACAAATCCCATGAAAGACAAACTACCAAAGCTCACTAAAGAAAAAATAGGTAGGGCCGGCCCCGTGGCTTAGCAGTTAAGTGCGCGCGCTCCGCTGCTGGTGGCCCGGGTTCGGATCCCACGCACGCACCGAGGAGCTGCTTCTCTGGTCATGCTGAGGCCGTGTCCCACATACAGCAACTAGAAGGATGTGCAACCATGACATACAACTATCTACTGGGGCTTTGGGGGAAAAATAAATAAATAAAATTAAAAAAAAAAAAAAAAAGAAAAAATAGGTAACTTAAATAGCCCTGTATCTATTAAAGAAATTGAATCTGTAGTTAAAAACCATCTCACAGAAAGAAAAACTCCAGGCCCAGTGGGCTTCACTGGTAAACTCTACCAAACATTTAGGGAAGATATAATACTAATTCTAGACAAATTTTTCCAGATAACTAAAAAGGAGGAAATACTTCCCAACTCATTCTATGAAACTAGCATTATCCTGATACCAAAACCAGACAAAAACATTACAAGAAAACTACATACTTACATCCCTCATGAACATAGATGCAAAAAATTTAAACAAAATTTTAGCAAATCAAATCTAACAATACACAAAAGGCTAATACACCATGACAAAGTGGCATGGCTGGTTTCAGATTTAAAAATCAATCGACGTAGGGGCCAGCCCAGCAGCATAGCCATTACGTTTGCGAGTTCTGCCTCAGCAGCCCAGGGTTTGCCGATTCAGATCCTGGGCATGGACCTACTCACTGTTCATCAAGCCATGCTGAGGTGGCATCCCATGTAGAAGAGCTACAACTCTACAACTATGATACACAATACATACTGGTGCTTTGGGGAAAAAAAGGAAAAAGAGGAAGATTGGCAGCAGATGTTCATGCAGGGCGAATCTCTCAAAAAAAAAAAAAACAGGCTTAAAAAAAAAACAAGGAAGCACAACAGTGTGATGTGTTATAAATGAAAAAATGTGAAAAAAAAGATCAATGTCATTGACCATATTAACTAAAAAAAAAAAGATCATTTCACCATGTGCACAAAAAAATCGCATTTAACAAAATCCAGTATACATTCCTGAAAAAAACTCTCAGCAAACTAAGAACAGAGGGGAACTTCCTCAATCTGATAAAGGGTGTCTATGAAAAATCTACAGATAACATCATATTTACTGGTAAAAGGAATGCTTTCTCCCTACATCAGGAACAAGACAAAAATGTCCACTCTCACCACTTCTAGTCAACATTGTACTAGAGGTTCTGGCCAGTGCAATTCAGGTAACAAAAAGACTGGAAAGAAAAAAGTTGTACTATCTTTATTTGCAGACAACATGCTCCTATATGTGAAAAATCCTAGAGAATTTACTATACTAAAAAAAAAAAGCCTACTAGAAATAATAAGCAAGTTTAGCAAGGTTGCAGGATACAAGGTCAATATATGAAATCAACTGTACAACACAAGAGATACCACTACACACTCACTAGGATGTCTATAATCAAAAAGACAAATCAAGTTTTGGCAAAAATGTGGAAAAATTGGAAACCTCACACATTGCTGGTGGGAATGTAAAAATGACGCAGCCACTGTGGAAAACAGTCTGGCGGTTAACCTTTCAACCCAGCAATTCCACTCCAAGGTATATACCTAAGAGAACTGAAAACATATCTTCACACAAAAGCTTGATCAAGAATGTTCATAGCAACATTATTCACAATAGCCAAAAAATGGAAATAACCCAAATGTTCATCAACTGATGAATGGATAAACAAAATATAGTATATCCATATGATAGAATATTATTTGGCAATAAAAAAGAATAATGTACTGATACATGCTACAACATGGATGAACACTAAAAACATTATGCTAAGAAAAAAAGCCAGACACAAAAGACTATGTAGTAATACTTTATACGAAACGCCCAGAACCGGCAAACTCACACACATAGAAAGTAAATATGTGGTTGCCAGGGTGGGAGGGAACAGAATTGGGAGTAATTGCCAACAGGTACAGAGTTTCTTTTTGGGGTGATAGAAATATTCTGGAAACAGATAATGGTGATAGTTGCACAACACTGTGAATGTACTAAAATTCCCTGATGCTTACACTGTAAAATGGTTAAAATAGTGAATTTTATGTTATTTGAATTTTATCTCAAAAAATCTATTAAAATAATCGATTGCATTTCTGTATATTAACAATATATAATCCCAAAATGAAATTATAAAAACAATTCCATTCACAACAGCATCAAAAAAGTTCTTAGGAATAAATTTATCAAAAGAATTAAACGACCTATATACTAAAAACTAGAAAATATTGATGAAAGAAATTAAACAAGACATAAATAAATGGAGAGATATATCATGTTCACGGATTGGAAGACTGAATATTGTCTGAATAGCAATTCAACACAATCCCTATCAAAATCCCAGTAGGTTTTTGTGGTGGAACTTGAAAAGGTGATCCTAAAATTTATATGAAAATGCTAAGGAACTAGAAAAGCAAAAACAATTTTGAAAAAGAACAACAGATAGAGAACATATACTACCTAATTTCATAACATATTATAAAGCTACAGTAATCAAAACAGGATAGACGTGGAATAGAATAGACAATCCAAAGAGAAGCCCACACATTTGTGGTCAGTTGATTTTTGACAAAAGCACCAAGTTAATTTAATAGGGAAAGGACAGTCTTCTTAACAAATGGTGCTGGAACAACTAGATATCCATAGGCAAGAAGGAAAAAAAAACCAAACAAACAGAACTTAGACCCTTACCTCACACCATATATAAAAATTAACTCAAAATGGATCACACACCTAAATGCAAGACCTAAAATCTTTACAACTTCTAGATAAAAACATAGGAGAAAATCTTTGTGGTCTTGGGTTTGGCAAAAATTTCTTAGCTATGTCACCAAAAGCATGATAACAAAAGAAAAAACTGATAAACTGGACTTAATCAAAATCCAAAACTTTTTCTCTTCAAAAACCACCACTAAGAAAATGAAAAGACAAGCCAAAGAGGAAATATTATCAAATTGCGTATCTGATCAAGAATTTTAATCCAAAATGTATAAAGAGCACGACTTAATAAGACAAGCAACCAAATTTAAAAATGGGTAAAATATTTTAAGAGATATTTTACCAAAGAAGATATACAAATGGCTAATAAGTACATGAATAGATGCTCATCATTGTTACTCATTAGGGAAATAGAAGTTAAAACAATAAGCTACCATTACAGATCCTCTAGAATGGCTCTAATTAAAAAGACTGATAATCTAAATGTTGGCGAGAATGTAAAGAAACTGGAACCCTCATACCACGCTGGAGGGGAAAAAAAATAGTACAGTCACCACTTTTAAAAACTGTTTGGCAGTTTCCTCAAAAGATCAACATATATTAATCATATGACCCAGCAATTCCACTCCTAGGTATTTACCCAAGAGAAACTTTAAAATATATCTGCACAAATACTTATAAAAGAATGTTCATAGCAGTATTCTTTATAATAGCCAAAAACTGGAACAATCCAGATTTCCATCAAAGATCATAAAAGGTGGTATATTCATAAAATGGAATACAACTCAGCAATAAAAAAGAACTACTGATATATGCAACAACACGGATGACTCTCAAAAACATTATGCTAAGTGAAACAAAACAGATAAGAAAGACGAGATAGTGTATGATTTGATGTATACAAAATTCTGAAGAAAGGCAAAACTAGAGACAGAAAGCAGGTCAATGGTTGCCTGAGGGTGGGACTGCAAATGGACATAAAGGAACTTTGGGGGGTGATAAAACTGGATTGTGGCGATGGTTTCACAGCTGTATGTACTTACTACAACGCATCAAACTGTACAATTACAATAGGTGAACTTACGGGGTATTAAAAGTACCTCAATAAAGTTGTTAAAAAAAAAAAGTGAACTATATAAAGTACTCACCATTGTAGCCTTCAAGAACAGAATCAATAATAGGTCTTGCAGTTAAGTTATAAACATCAAGCTGTTTACTCTCTGGTCCAAAAACAGTATCGAAAGTAAATGTCTTTGGAGGTTCATTGGAAGAATCAGTCTTATGTACAGTGATAGTTCCCCTCATCTCATCCACACTGACCGCCTGTTTGTAGCACATTGATTTCTCTCTCTCATTGAGCGGCCGGCACCTAACAACCACCTTCACATTATCGCAGCTTTCCGGCTTCTCTGATTTATTGATCTGGTGGAGAAAACATTTACAAATAATGAAAAGAACATTTACTTTTACCTTCAACAGATTAAATTTAAAATCTGAAAAAGGCTACTTCGCCATCTCAGTGCCCTGCATATATTAAGCACTCCATAAATATCTGTTAAATGCAATTAAAAATCTTACAGATACACTGAAAAGCTTATCAAAAGATATGAAAGGAAAATAGTTTCTTTTACAATACAAATGAGAGTAGAGAAAATCTAATATACATTTATAGTAAATGCTACTCAAGCAGAAAACGAACCAGTATATTAGTCTTTCTGCACAAAAGTCCCTGACTTCCTGAGTTGCCAGTAGGAAAACACATGTGAACATGGTTAACAACTTTAATCAAGAATATAGTAGTAGGTCCTGTGTTCCTGAAACTTTTAGTTTTATTCTCTATAATGCATTAGTAAAATGTTTATCATATATCCATATATAGTCTATCTTCTCTATAGAAGACAACAATAAATGTAAGACAGAAAAGAAAGTCCAAGGGCAGACAGAGAAAAATGTTTTAGTAGGACTCTAACCTTACAAACATTTACATGTCAAGTTTCAATTTTTGAAATTTTATGATTAAGAATCTATATTAAAATACAATCCTATTATTGAAGTGAAGAAGTTCAACAGTTTAGTTGAACAGATATTTCTTAAATTCCTACTGTTTCAGATACTTTTCTAAGCATTAGACAAATAAATACAAGCCACTGTCATTAACAAGGAACTGATTATATCAATACAGTACACTTCTCTCCATATCTACTTTCACCACCTTAGTCTAGGTCAGCATTCTCTCGCCCTGGATTATAGGAGACTCCTAACTGTACCCCTGCATCTAATTAGGTTCCCCTACAGTCTGTTTTCTACATGGTAGTCAGCTTCAACACAAATCTATCATGTCACTCCCCTACTTAAAACTCTCCAATGGTTTCCCACAGATTTTAGGATAAAAATCAAAATCCGTAAGACGGTTTGTAAGATCTGGCTCCGGCTCGTGTCTACTTCTCCAGCCTTATTTCACAAGTTACCCTGCGTGGCTTTCTTAGCCACAGCCACACTGCCTTTCTTTTAGGCCTTTTCTTGTCACTATGCTCCGTCTCACCGCAGGCCTTGCCATGTCCTGTTTCTTCCGCCTAGAACATTCCTCACTTTCCTCTTCACTTATCCTGCAGATCTCTGCCCAACAGCCACTTCACCTGGGAAGACTTCCCTAACTAGGTCAAATCCTTGTAGGTACAGGCCATGAGAGCACCCTTGTCTCCCCTCCTACATTCCATTACGATTCTACTTTAGTTTGCTCCTTATTTGATTAATGTCTGTCTTTCTGTCTAAATCAGACGTTGCAAACAGGTAGGAAAGGAGCTGAATTCAGCCCACAAATGTCTTTTCTTAGGCTCAAAGTATTTAAAAATCTTTTGAAGTAGTTGCTAAAATTTAAAACTTGAGAAATCTCACAAAAAATAACAATTTCTAGATTCTCTTGAAAAAATAGATGATCTGACATCTGTAGGCCAGCATTCCTATGTGGCAACACTTTACAATTCACCAGAATCGACTTCTATCTATTGTACACGACCCATTCATTTCCTTCATTAATGTTAAGTGTCTTGTCTCTGTAAACATGTATTGTTGTCACCTCTGTCCAAGAAGGCAAGCTTCTCTCTTCCCAAGTTCAAGAACCTGGATGGTTTTGCTCAATACTGTACTTAGTCCCTAAGATGTAGTTGGTGCCCAATATTTGTTGAATAAATTGATAAATAACTTGAAAGCAACGACACAAAACAAATGTTGAACATTTAATGCTCAATGTCAAGCACTGTCCTTCAAGTCTCTTGCGCATTATCTTATTTCATCCTGATAACACCCCTGAGGAAAAGTTTAATTATGTGGGAACTTAGGGCCCAGAAAGATTAAATAATTGTGCAAGGCCTCGCAACCAGTAAACAACCGGCCACAGCTCAGGTGTTCTCCATAACCGTGTACTGGACTTACGAGGCCTCTCTATTTAAAGTGAAGGATAACAATCTGTGACATCCTACAAGACAAACATACCACCACCCACCCCCCTCACACACGAAGACACCTACGGGTTACATTCTGCACCATAAGCTAAAACGCCACGAGAGGAATGACAGCTGGAGTCAGCGGCCTGGAGTAGGGGCAGGCAGCCCCGGCTTTGCTTGGCTCCGCGGCGTAGAGACCCCACCGGCTGTGGAGCATCAAAAGCCAACCCTCCGCGGCGGCCGCTCCCTGACGCCCTACTCAGCCGACAGGGCTGGGAGGAGAGCGCATCCTCTGGCACAGAGCCTTATGTCATGCAGCGGAGGCCCTGCGGGATGCAGCACCGACGAAGGCAGCAGGGCCTGTCCCGGGCCCCTCCCAGGGCGAGCGAGACCCCCACGGACCCCCGGCCCACCCGCCAGGCTCGCCAACGTTTCGGGCCCTGCCCCGCCCCACCCCGGCAGCCCGCCTGCTCCGCGCCTCCATGGCAACAGCCGCGCCCCCGGGTCAAGCCGCTGGGATGAGAAGGAACCCCAGCGGCTGAACGACTCTCCTCACCGGCATCGTGGCTCCCTCCCGTGCCCGGCGGACGTCCCCGCCCTGGGTGCAGTCCAACGACGCCGGCTCGCGGGAGAGTCTGGCCGGAGGTTCCCGAAACACCGCCTCGGCGCTCTCGAGACTGCAGCTACCCGGGCGAGAGCGCGCTGTGCGCAGGCGCACTCCGAGCTCGCCCCGCCTCATTCCCAGCCTCAGGCTTCCTCGGCCTTCTGAATTACGCCTGCGCGGGGGCTTTCCGAGTCCGTCTCCTAGGACGCCAGACGGAGGCCGCGCCTGCGCAATGCTGCCATTCCGCTGCGCTAGAAAGCTCGCCCGCATTGGGGCGGGGATACCTGGCTGCCAGCGGTTGGGACCAGAAGCGCTACTAGATTGCAAGGCCTATCTTCTGGCGGTTGCAATATGTACTCCGAATATTAAAAACAACAATAGCAGTTGTACATTGTGTCCCATCTGGAGAGCTAAAGGCTTTACATACATTACTGCGCTTGATTGCTGTCTTGTTTATGACATGTCTGACCAATAGAAGATATGTCGTGAGGAGCTTTGTCGGTATTCTCACGAGTATCTCTAGAGACTAGAATAGGACCTGGCACAGGGTAGGTTTTAAGTAAATATTTTGAAAGAACGAATGACCAATCTTCTTTCCTGTCCGAACCTCTCCCCTGAACACCACTCTGCTGGGATGTGTAATAGGCATTTCAAGTTTATCATGTCCAAAATTGAAATGTTGATTCCCCCTCCTAGCACCCACCCTCACCCAGCCAAAAGTAAAAAAAGGGGCGGGGGGGCTCCCTCTTATGCTTCCCTCATCACAATAAACATATGCTGAATTCTGACAATTGTTCAGGCCAAAACCAGTCTTTCTCTCATTCCCAACATCTAATCTTTCAATAGAACTTGTTGTCTCTGTCTTCAAAGTAGAACCAGAATCAGACCACTTCTCACCACCACCACCATCTCTCACCTGCATTACTACAACAGCTCAGAACTGGTTTCCTTGTGTGCATCCTTGTACCCTCTTAGTCTATTTTCAATACAGGAGCCAGAGCAATGGTGTTAAAACATGAATCAAACAGCGTCTTTTCTCTGTTCAAAACCTGCCAATGATTTCCTATCTTACAGAGTAAAAGTCACAAGCCTTCTCCCCATTGCCTACAATCTTCTATCTTGCATTATTCTGCACCAGCCCCACCTGGCCTCCTTGATTTATCCGACGTTCTGGGTATGGTTCCATCTGGATGGAACCAGATGGATGGAATGCAAGGGCTTTTGCACTTGCAGGAGGAACTAATAAAAATAACTATAAAGCATTTTACTTAGTGCTAGTGTACTGTTCTAAGTTCTTTACTTTTTTCTTATTAATTTAATCCACATAATAACCTTTTGAAATAGGTACTATTAGCCATTTTAATAGAAAATAGGAATAACTATTTTATAGATAAAGAAACTGAGGCACAGCGCTATTAAGTAATTTGTCCAAGGTCATACATATGGGCAGTGAGAATGCCCCGATTCAAACCCTGGCCCTGGAAATCTCTCCCCCAGATATCTGCCTGACTCTCTCACCTTCTTCAGAATGTCTTTGTTCACACATTACTTTCTCAATGAGCCCTACCACAATCTATTTAAAATTCCAAACTTCAGTCTCAGTCTTCTTTTCTTGCCTCCTACTTTGTATTTCTCCATAATACTATCACCATCTAATATACCATATATTTCATATATATAATATATATACATATACACAGCTTTATTGAGATATAATCACATATCATATAATTCACCAATTTAAGTTGTACAATTCAGTGTTTTTTACTATATATGCAGAGTTGTGCAACCATAACCACAATCAATTTTAAATATTTTCATCACCCCCAAAAGAAACTCTATACTCATAGCAGTCACTCCCCCTTACCCCCCTCACCAACATCCCAGCCCTAACCACCAATCTACTTTCTGTCTCTGTAGACTTGCCTATTCTGGACATTTCATATAGATGGAATTATATAATATGTGGCCTTTTGTGAATTATTTCTATCACTTAGAATAATGTTTTCAAGCTTCATCCCTATTGTAGCATATATCAGTACTTCTTTACTTTTTATGGCTGAATAATATTCCATTGTATGGATATACCACATTTTATCCATTTGTCAGTTGATGGACATATGAGTAGTTTCTACTTTTTGGCTATTATGAATAACGCTGCTATGAGCTTTTGTGTGAACATGTTTCATTTCTCTTGAGTATATGCCTACAAGTGGAATTGCTGAGTCATTTGGTAACTCTAATGTTTAACATTTTGAGGAACTGCCAAGCTGTTTTCCATAGTGGCTGCATCACCAGTGGCGTAAGAAGTTTTACATTCCCACCAACAATGTATAAGTTTCCCAATTTCTCCATGTCCTCAGTGAGACTTGCTATTGTCTTGTCTTTTTTGTTATAATCATCCTACTGGTGTAAAATAGTCCCTCATTCTGATGTTTTTTGTTTTTTTTGTGTGTGACAAAGATCAGCCCTGAGCTAACATCTGCCAATCCTCCTCTTTTTGCTGAGGAAGACTGGCCCTGGGCTAACATCTGTGCCCATCCTCCTCCATTTTATATGGGACGCTGCCACAGCATGGCTTGACAAGCTGTGCGTCAGTGTGCGCCTGGGATCCGATTCAGTGGAGAGCACACACTTAACCGCTATGCCACTGGGCTGGCCCCTCATTGTGATTTTGATTTGCACTTCCTTGATGACTGATAATGTTCAACATCTTTCCATGTGCATATTGACACATTTGAATATCTTCTTTGGAGAAATGTCTATTCAAATCCTATTCAATCTATTCAAATGTCTATTTAAAATTCAAGCCCATTTTGTCTTTTCATTATTAAATTGTAAGAATTCTTTATATATTCTAAATATAAGTCCCTTTTCAGATATACGATATGCATATATTTTCTCCTATTCTGTGGGTTGTGTGTTTAATTTCTGGATGGTGTCCATTGAAGCTCAAAAGTTTTTAATTTTGATCAAGTACAATTTAAATATTGTTGTTGTTGTTGTTTCTTTTGTTGTACTTTTGGTGCATATCTAAGAAACCATTTCCTAACCCAAGGTTATGAAGATTTACTCTTTTAAGAGCTTTATAGTTTTAGCTCTTACATTTAGATCTATGATCTCTTTTGATTTATCTTTGTATATGGTATGATATAGGGATCCAGCTTCATTCTTCTGCATGTGAATATCCAGCTGTCCCATCACCATTTGCTGAAAAGACTGTTCTTTCTTCCACTGAATTATTGTGGAACCCTTGCCAAAAATCAATTGATCATTAACATAAGGATTCATTTCTAGACTCTCAATTCAATTCCATTGATCTATAGGTCTATTCTAATGCCAGTGCTATACTGTCTTAATTACTATAGGCTTGTAGTAAGTTTTGAAATCAGATAGTGTGGGGCCTCTGTCTTTGTTATGCATTTTCAAGATTGTTTGGCCATTCTGAATCCCTTGCATTTCCACAGGAATTTTACAAACACCTTGTCAATTTCTGCAAAAAGGCAGCTGGAAACTTAACAGGAATTATGTTGAATCTATAAATCAGTTTGGGAAGTCTTGCCATTTTAACAATTTAAGTCTTCCAATCCACGAACACGGAATGTCTTTCTATTTATTTAGGTCTTCTTTCATTTCTTTTAGCAATGTTTTATAGTTTTCAATGTATAAGTATTGCACTTCTTTGGTTATGTTCTTAAATATTTTATTCTTTTTTATGCTATTGAAAATGGAATTGTTTCCTTAATTTCATTTTGAGATTGTTCATTGGAAATAAAATTGATTTTTGTAGTATGTTGAGCCTGTACTCTGCAACTTTAATGAACTTGTTTATTACTTCTAATAGTTTTTTAGCAGGTTCCTTAGGATTCTCTACATATAAGATCTTTATTTCTTCATCACTTGAAAGATAATTTCATTGGATACAGAATTCTAGGTTGGTGGGGTTTTTTCTCTCTATACTTTAAACATTTCTTTCCACTCTCTTCTTGCTTGCATGATCTCTGAAAAGAAGTCCAATGTAATTCTTATCCTTGCTCCTCTACAGATAAGGTTTCATTTCTCCCCTCTGGCTTCTTTAGAGATATTTTCTTTATTTTTGATTTTCTGTAGTTTGAATATGATATGCCTAGGTGTAGTTTTTTGGCATTTACCCTGCTTGGTGTTCTCTGAGCTTCCTGGATCTGTGGTTTGGTATCTGATATTACTTGGGGGAAATTCTCAGTCATTATCGCTTCAAATATTTCTTCTGTTCCTTTCTCTCTTTCTTCTCCTTCTGATATTCCCATATATTTTAAATTTAATGTAATGTAAAATTTTTTTTTTTTGTAAATTTTTTGTTTATTGCAGTAACATTGGTTTATAACTAATGTAATGTAAAATTTTAATGAAGTACAGTTTACATAAGGAAAAGTGCACAAATCATAAACATACAGCTTGATCAACTTTTACAAGGTGAACACGTGTGTGTAATCAGCATCTAGATCAATAAACAGAACATTATCAGCCCCTGGAAGTTCCTTGTGTTCTTTTCCAGTCACTATCCACTGCCCCCCAAGAGTAACCATTATCTTGACTCTAACATTATAGATTTGTTTTCCTTCTTTTTATACTTCATATAAATGGAATCATACAATATATGAAACTCTTTTGTATCTGTCTAAATTCAGATTCATTCATTCAATATTACGTTTGTGAGATTCTTCCTTGTTAGGTATAGCAGTAGTTCATTCTTTTTCAATGTGATATGGTATTCCATTGTGTGAATATACCACAATTTGTTTATCCCATTCAGCTGTTGAGGGACATTTGGATTGAATCCAGTTTGGGGCTATTACAAATAGTGCTGCTCTGAACACTACGTAGGTGTCTTTTGGTGCAGTCATATTCATTTCTGTCAGGCACATACTTAGGAGTGGAATTGTTGGGATTTCCATGTATTCTACTCATGTTTATTGTCTGTCTTTCCAGACTAGAATGTAAGTTCCACGTCTATTTTGTTCACTATGTCCCGGCACTTAACACATTGTAGGCCTTCAATAAACAACTGCTGAATGGATAAATACATGCATGAATGAACTACCTTGTGAGGGAGATACTATCGCTGTTTTAGAGGAGAGG